CAGGCTCAACCAGTCCACTGCAGAGCTGACAGATTCCCAGCCTCTCCAGGCCCTGCCACCTCCAGTTCTGTGTCCAAGACCTCCAGCTTGCTCTGGGAGCTCCCAGGCCAACCTGATCCCCAAACCTCCCAGAGTCCCTCCTGTTGTGGCCGTAATTTCTCCGTTCCACTTTCCGCCCTTCACTCAGGAGGATGTCGGAGGAGTCTTCAAGGACGACAGAGCCAAAAATAATCAGGTCCTGACCTACCTCCCAAAAATGGGGCAGCCCCGCCCAGGCACCTGGCACCACAGAGGTAATTAGTGCATGTGGCAAATGAGGGTAATTAGGAATGTGGGAGCCAAACTGATGATCCAGGTTTGGAGTTGGGGACAGGGCTGAGGATGCCCCCCCATCCCCAACCCACCCTGGTAGACCTCAAACCCCATAATCCAGGGGCAGATCCCTCCCCACCAGTACCTTAATGCCCATGCCTGAGGGAGGCTTACTTCCTGGGGGCTGCTTGTTTAATGAATTTAACTTGGCTTTGGGCAGAAGTTAAATTGGATCTAAATTTAAGGTGCAGTCACTTTCAAGTGATGAAAAACCACCAATATTGGGTCACCAAATTCTCCTTTATCATGACACTCCATGCTGAAAAATGCCAAGCTTAAAGAAGGCCTCAGCTCAGTTCTTGAGGTACCCTCAAGTGGGAAAAGTCAGAACAAGACACAGCCATTCTCAGCCCCCCTGGCATCAGGGTTGGGCCACAAGGAGGGAGGGTACTGAAAAGGGTTTAGTAGGAGAGGAGGAAAGCTTCTTGGAGATGGGCAAATTGGGGGTGGGATTTTGAAGGATGAAAAGGAGTTTGACAGGAGGCTGTTCAGGTGACTGTTCTAACTGGTGACTTGGGAATGGGAGAATTAGGAGAAAGGTGGATGAAGGTGGATGAAGACTTAGAGCTAAATATTTAGAGGATGTCCACTAGGTTGGATCCAGTCCCTTAAAACTTAGTGTTTGGGTGGAACCCTGCAACACTTGAAAGAGAAAACCTTAAGGACATGGTTCATGTATGTTTATAATGGCTAGCATTTATTAAGTTCCTAGGGTCATGTCCCCTTTGTGTAAGGACTGTGGATTTACAAGAAATATCAGAAATAGGCACCATCCTTTTTGTTTTTAAGTTGTCTCTTTTTGTAATGCATACAAGAACTGGGGTGTAGGCCAAAGATGTGGGAGGGGTGAGAGGATTCACCAGAGATAGAGGGGGGAGCAGAACAGGCAGATCTACTGAAGTACACTGCTGAGGGGAGCATTGGGCAAAATAGGAGAGGTCTGCTGTGCCATGTGTGTCAGATCCTGGCCGAGGATCAAACTCATATTGCAGTGGTTGCAGACAGCTTGATATCGATTGTGTCTCTTAGACAGACCCATAAGCCACCAGGGAGGCCCAGTAGGCACCATTTATATATATATATATTGTTGTTGTTGTTTGTTTGTTTGTTTAAGATCCATTCACCTATGCATACAAGAACTGGGGTACAGGCCAGAGGTGGGGGGGGAGGGTGAGAAGATTCACCGGAGACAGAGTGGGGAGCAGGACAGACAGATTGACTGAAATACACTGCTGAGGGGAGCAGCCAGTGAGACAGGAGAGGTCTGCTGTGTCATGTGGGATTGAATTCCCACTACAGTGGCTGCAGATAGCTTCATAGTGGTGCACTTTAACCCCTTGCACCACCAGGGAGGCCCCAGTAGGCACCATTCTTATGTACCTTCTATAGATGGGGAAACTAAAGCACAAAAGAGGGTATTTGGCTTCTTTAAGCTCACAGAGCTGGCAAGAGGTAGGCTGGGGTTTATTCTACACTTTATGTGAGTCTGGAAGTCACCAGACACCAAGGTTAGGCCTGGGGATCTCCTTCTGGAAACATTTGCAGATCCCTGCTGCAGGTCAGGCTTGTTCCAGGTGCTAGGACAGAGGGGAGGTAACCAAATCATGCGGTGGTGCTGATCCAGGTGGTCTCTATGCCCCATTATGCCTTGAAGCTAAGCATGCAGCTTTGGCAAACTTCTTGGGACAGGAAACCCTCTATGGGGAGGAGATGATTTAGCTTCAGTTCAAAGATTGTATCAGATTTTACTGGGCAAAGGTCAGAATTTGCTCCATAAGAACCACTCTGCCAATGTAACTAACCTAAAGCCGAATGAGTTGCCCTAGTCCCTGCTTCATTTCTTCTATGACAGGGAGCTCATTTTCTCCTAAGTCCTCAGTCCCAAGGGAAAACTGTCACTTCCAGTCAGGTATTCTGGGTGGCAGCCTCTGGTTATCCAGAAAGGATATCCCCCATCCCTCGGAAGACAGTTGTTATAACGTCTGAGGCAGAGAGGACTCAGACTGGGTTGACGGCCGCAATTAAAGGAAGCCCCGACCCATCTGTACTCAGGGATATGAGTTGCTGCTGGTGTTGCTGGATCTCCCCTGCCTCCTCCCTCCAGCCTTAGGTGGATCATACCGGGAGCATCAACCCATTGTCCAGGTGAGAAAACTGAGACCCACACTCACAGAGCCACATCCTCAGTTTCGACTTGCCCGGGACAAGTGCAGCCATATCCCAGCTGCTCCCAGAGACCAAAGAGGGGGCCAAACTCTCACACCGTTGCTTTCCCCCCACATATGAAGTCTTCCCAGGCCTCTCACCTGACCACCCCCTCAGCATAGCCTTTTGGCTCTGTACTTGTCTTGCATTCAGGATCCCCTAGCGGTTTCCAGAAGCCTTGGCCCCACCAGCACCTTCCAGTTTCATTTTTTTAAAAAATAGTGTTCTTTTTGGTAATAAGGAAAAGTCACTCTTTGCACAGAACAGACGGTATTGTCTTTGTTCCCCACAGTGTTCAAGTGTTTTGTGGCTTAGGGCCTGAGAGCGAAAGCCAAATCTTTTGTTGGTGCAGATGCCTTGTGAAGCTAAAAGCAGCCGAGGAAACTGATCCTGTGTTTCAGTTTCCCCAACTGGAGGGAGAGGTTTCTGTCATCCTGGATGATGCTGGGGCTCCAGGAATCTGCAGACCCACCAAGACAGGATTAATAGGAAGGCAACACAAATCAGAGGTCCCACAGAATGAGAGGGGGTTGGGGCAGGGGAGAACAGAGGACAGGAGGCCATAGAGCTGAGCCTGCAAGGACAAAGCGGAATGGACGCTGGGGAAAGGAAGCCAAGGTGGGAGGAACAGCTCTGTCAAAGGCCTGGAGAGAGAAAAATTCAGGCCCTGGCCAGGGAGTAGGTCTCCAGAAACCACAGGAACTGGAATTCACCAAAGGTCACTTGAAGGTGGCTGCTGGCTCAGAAGTGGGATTCCTGTCAGGGACACAGAAATAAAAGGACCGGGAAAGGAGATGAAAAGCCCAAACCTCTGAGGTTGCCAGAAGCGCCATGGTGAGGCTCACCCCATGTAACTTTTGAGAGGTCCCCAGAGAAAGGGCAGCCTCAGGCTGACAAGAGTCTGCTAGAGCCAAGGAAGGTCCAACCCATCTCAGGTCTGGAAGATGGTCTCCGGGAAGAGTGTGAAGGGAGCAGCTTCTCTGTCCAGAGGTGACATCACTCACTGGCCGGGAACTGCCAGGACAGTCCCTCCAACTCCAGCAATGAGAGATAATCCGAGTCCTCCTTGTTATGGCTATCCTGAGGGGGACAGAAGACCCCTGTAAATAAGTCTGAGAAGGTTACCGAGGTCAAGTTCCATTAAGCGCCTGTTGCTGCTCTCATCGTTTTTTCCCAAACCCCTCCCAAGCTCCAAGTAGCTTTCATTTCCTGGCCGAGCACCTACTATGTGCAGGCATTGGGACCCATCGAGGCAGCAGACACGCCTCTGGAACCCAGTCATGGTCAGAAGTTTATGACCCCATGCAGTAAGGGCACGCGCAGCCAGACCAAGAGAATCAGGCCGCCCTGACCCAAGGATATCTACCGAATTCCATTCCCACTCCTCCATTCCTCTCGGGTCCCTGCGCACACTACCCTGTCATCTCCCTTCCCCCGCCCCCCGCCGCGGAAGACCAGCAGGGGGCGCTGCGGAGCGGAGGCGGGGCGGTGGCGGTGGG